ATCGAAATAGCTCAAAATTGAAAAATTAAAAACTGAAACATTGAAAAAATCTAAAAATTGGACATTGAAAAACTGGAAAATTTTAAAGCTTCATAACTGAAAATTGGAAAAATCACAAATTTTAACAATCGAAAACTTGAAAAATCAAAAAATCGATCGATAACTCGAAAAGTCCAAAAACCCAAAAAATCGAAAATTTAGAAACGTCAAAAAATGATAAATAAAAAAATTTTAAAATCGAAACATTGGAGAATCGACGAATTGAAATATCCCAAAATTGAAAAATCGAAAAATTGAAGAATCGAAGAACTGAGAAACCGCTGAATTGAAAAATTCCGAAATAGAAATGACGAAAAATTGGGACATCGAAAAACTGATATAAAACTGAAAAACTAAAACATCGAGAAACAACACAGAGATTGAGGAATCGAGAATTCGAAAAGCCGAGAAATCAAAAAATCGAAAAATTTAGAAATCGAAATAGCCCAAAATTGGAAAATTGAAAACTGAAATATTGAAAAATCATAAAATTGGAAGTTGAAAAACTGAAAAATCGAAAAACTGCAACATTTAGGTAAAAGTTTAGTAACAATCAAAAAATTCAAAAACCGAAAAATTAAAGAACTTGAAAAATGAAAAAATCGAGAACTCGAAAAGTCGAAAAACCCAAAAAATCGAAAATTTAGAAACGTCAAAAATTGAAAAATCGGAAAATTTGATCCAAAAACTGAAAAATCGCGAAATTGAAAAATGACGAAAATTTGGGAAATCCAAAAATTGCTAAAACATCGAGAAACGACATACTAAACATCAAGAAATCGAGAATTCAAAAAGTCGAAAAATTTTAAATCGCAACAGTCCATAATTGAAAAATTAAAAACTGAAACATTGAAAAATCGAAAAATTAGACAGTTGAAAACCGAAAAAATCGCAAAACCGAAAAATTTAAAAGTTCAATAATTGAAAAATGAAAAATCACAAATTTTAACAATCGAAAAATTGAAAAACCGGAAAATCAAAAAATCGAGAGCTCGAAAAGTCAAAAAACCCAGAAAGTCGATTATTCCAGAAATTGAGAAACCGAGAAATCAAAAATCCAGAAACGTCAAAAACTGAAAAATCAAAAATTTTTAAAATCGAAAAATTTCAAAATCGAGAAATTGAAATATCCCGAAATTGAAAAATTCAAGAATAAAAAAACTGAAAAATCCCAAAATCTAAAAATTAAAAATCGAAATATGTATTAAAAAAATCTAAAAACTGAAAAATCGGAAAATTGAAAAACGACGAAAATTTGGAAAATCCAAAAATTGAAAAATTGGAATATAAAATATTGAAAAATCGAAAAATTGGGCAGTTGAAAACCTGAAAAACGAAAAACCGAAAAATTTGGAAGGTTAATAACTGAAAAATGGAAAAATCGCACTTAAAAAATAAAAAAATCGAGAACTCGAAAAGTCGAAAAACCCAGAAAATCAATTAATCCAGAAACTGAGAAGACGAAAAATCGAAAATTTAGAAACGTCAAAAATTAAAAAATCAAAAAAATTTAAAATCTACGATATTAAAAAATTGAAGAATAAAAAAACTAAAAAATCCGAAAATCAAAAAATTAAAAATCGAAGTATGGATAAAAAAAATCTAAAAATTGAAAAATCGGAAAATTGAAGAATCGAAAAACTGAGAAATCGCAAATTGAAAAATTCCGAAAAAGAAATGACGAAAAATTGGGAAATCGAAAAATTAACAAATTGAAGAACCAAGACATCGAGAAACGACACATCAAAAGATCGAGAAATCAAAAAATCGAAAAATTTAGAAATTGAAATACATATTTGCCTTTTTTTCTATTCTTGTAAAGAAATAAATATTTTGCAGTTAAACTCCGCCCCTTTGGTTCAGGCCGAATGAAAAAAGATCATCACAATGGAGATAGAGTGGGTGGGCGGGCTTATATTTTGTCTTTTTTTGAATATGTGTAGACTTCTTTTCACAACATGAAACTTAAAACATGTTTAAAAATGTACCATTTTAATCATGTTCTAAGTTTCTTATTATGAAAACATGGCCATGTATATTAAGAAAAAAAAAGACAAAATATAAGAAATAGAGAAACGGGAAAATCAAAAAATCAGTTAATCGAAAAATTGAAAAATCGAAAAATTTAGAAACGTCAAAAATTGAAAACTGAAAAATAAAAAAATTTAAAAATCGTAAAACTGAAATATCGGAAAATTGAGTAATCGAAAAATGAAGAAATTCGAGAAACCGAAAATATGAAGAATCGACAAATCGAAGAATCGATAAATTGAAAAATCCCAATAGTAATATGTCGAAAAATTGAGAAATCGAAATCGAGCAAAACTGATGTATCGTAAAGTTAATAAATTGAAAAACTGAAAATTTTTGAAAAAATCAAAAACTAAAAAATCGGGAAATTTAACAATCAAAAAATCAAAACATTGAAATCCCAGTAAGTTGATAAATAGGAAAATTTAAAAAACAAGAATTTTAAAAATCCAAGAATTGAACAACAAAAAAAATCCAAGCCTGAAAACTCGAGAACTCAATACATCAAAGAAATCAAAAAATCTAAAATTTAAAAATTCGACAAATTGAAAAATCATGGAACTGAAAAATCGAAGTCGAGATAGTGAGAAATCTAAAAACCTAAAACTTTAAAAACTGAAAAATTAAAATATCGAAAAATTTAAAAACCGAGAAAACACAATATCAAAAATTTGAAAAATTGAAGAAACGAAATATTGCAAAATTCCAAAGCTGAAATATTGAAAAACCTAAAAATGGAAGAAAAATTAAAGAATCGAAACAGTGAAAAAATCCCAAACTGAAACATTGAAAAATTGAGAAATGGAGAAATGGGAAAATCAAAAAAATTGGTCCAAAGAGTTTAGACAGTACTTCCCTCGTTATCGGAAACGTGACGACTGCATGCCTATTATGTTTTTTTTTCACATTAGATTTCAAAGAATTCGGTTTTGTGGTTTTTGTTGATTAAATCAATAAAATAAATTTGCGCATTTATTAAATTTTTTGAGTCACCCTGTATATCCGAATCCAAAAAATATGAATGGAATGATAAATTACAAGAAGAGACTCATCATATTTTGTACATTTTAAATAGGATTATACGGCAAACTTTTGAGTTGACGTCATCAATTTTTTCGAGAAGATAACCAAATATATTTTGACTAAAAATTTATTATGCGCTTTATAACCTTAAAACAATTGCAAGATTTCAAAGTATTGGGTTCTGTAGTTCCTGATTAACTCAATAAAATAAATTTACGCATTCATTAATTTTTGGGGCCATCCTGTATATGCAAATCCAAAAACGTGAATGGATTGATGAATCACAAGAAGAGACTCATCATATTTTATACAATTTAGATAGGATTTATTCAGCAAAATTTTGGGGTGGCGTCATCCATTTTTTAGGAGAGATGAGCAAATATATTTTGATCAAAAATTCACCATGCTTATGATAGATTTAAAACATTTTCAAGATTTCAAAGCATTCGGTTTTGTAGTTCCTGATAAAATTAATAAAATAAGTTTGCGCATTCATTAAATTTTTTGAGTCACCCTATATATCCGAATCCAAAAAATATGATAAATTACAAGAAGAGACCCATCATATTTTGTACATTTTAGATAGGATTTATTCAGCAAAATCTTGAGATGACGTCATCAATTGTTTACAGGGGATAAGTAAATATATTGTGATTAAAACGGTCCTGGTTTAATAACAAAAAAATATTGTTCATCTATGAAACAAGAAATATGTAAAAAGATGGCAGATAAACTTGGCAGATTTTACTTTGGCGCATTATCGCCCGAAATAATTGATTCAAGAAGAAAGAGGAACCTGCCTTTGCGAGAGATTTTTTTAAAATAAATAAACTTTTTTCTATTTTTTTTATGTACTTTAATAATTTATTAGGAGTACATTTTTCATCACCAAGACTTGCATATTTTTATTATAAATATATTTTGAAAATGATCTCTCGGCAAATGAAAACATCTACGAACACTTTTTTCGAGTAAACAATGAAGGGAGAAGTTACTGGGCGTAGGGCTTTTTTAAAACACCTCCTTTCTGGGATAAGTAGTAGATACACTTAGCTACTTATACGTGTTAAACAACAGCTGTATTTTATATATTTTTTATTATTATTATAAATATGTTTATTAGTTTTATTAATTAACAAAGCAAAATATATATTATCAATAATATTACAATGAATTTTTAGTAATCATGTGTATTGAATTCAGGATCCTGAGTGAAGTAAAAATATTATAGTTCCCCAGTTTTAATTCGGTTTTATGATAGTACCTCATTGCGTAAAAGTTAAATTCCTTAACAATAGATTACTACGGCCGGTCCTGGCGGCTTGTTATAAAGCTGAGTTCCTTGCCATAAATTAGAAAAATCAGCCGAGAACTCTAACAATCAGCATATGGTAGACAAGGCGATAAGGGTTTTACCTGGAAAGTCGCTTCCGTAAATTTTAGTGGCGCTCCTATCGGCAAAGTACTGAACTAACTGCTCAAATTCTGTCGAATTGATACCCATTTTTTTCAATAATTGTTAGTTTTTGTTAAAAACTCTGCTAACCAATAGATCATTAATTTTCCTCTGATATTCCTATTAAAATTATTCGACGTATTTTGCATTAATTTGTGATATATTTTGATTTTAATAAACACATTATTATTTAAACAAATTGTACCACTAACAAATATTTAATGACTCTGCGCTCTGTAAAAAGTGATGCTTTATCCATGTGCGAATTTTCAAGCGATTCTATGATGGTTATGACTCAAAAAACTTGAAAAGAAAACATACAATGGTGCTTTTTTTACGATATTTTCAGTTTGATGTATGATACATCTATATTAATATCATTTTTTCATACAAAAAACCAAAAAAATATTATACCTCGTCTAGCGAGTCCCCTTAAGTAATATATTTTCAGCATCGAGAAATCAACACCATTCTTGGCGACATAATCGAGCACATAGCGCCCGACCGAAGCTACGAACAATACTACAACCAACTAAAATATATAGTCGAAAACATAGTTCACAACATCCAGGACTTTGAGGCCTTGCTTGTCATGGTAAGTTCGCTTCCACCCCGACACACTTAACCCTAGCGCCTCCAGGACAACTTCCTCCCCTTGATCGACCTCTTCCAAGAAGAGTCCGCACGAGTCGAAGTCTGTAAAAAAATCCTCATCGGAAGCAACATCAGCGTGCACGTAGTCAACGACCCCGTCGTCGTCAACGCCCTCATGTTCCTCTGCTCCACGTTGCACGACTCCGTCAACGCGCTCACCCCCGACGACGAGTACAGACAAATCGGCGACATTTTGTGCCACGTTATCAAGGTTATAGACTACGGCCGCGATTTCGAGCAGCAGTTGACGTTCTACGTGGAAGCCAGAGGCATGTTCTCGAACATCGACATAGTGTTCGTGCAGCTGGTCCAGGTAAGAATGGCTTAAAAAATGACTTATTAATCTGACTTAACATTTAAGTGTGTCAACGCCCTCTCTGTCAAGACGCGACAAATCGTCAAAGGGGCCCACACGAGGAAGACCGGGGACTTCGTGCGGGCGTGCGCAGCCTACTGCTTTATTACGATACCGTCGATCAAGTCGGTGAAGCATCGCTTGAGGTTGTACTTGCTGTCGGGCCAGGTGGCGCTGTTTAACCAGTGTTTGGGGCAAGCGGATGCTTGTTTTAAGGCTGGGGTTAGCACGATTTCGGAGATACAGAGTGAGAAGGCGCAGTTCCCGGAGGCTGAGTTGGTGCCTTATGTTAAGCAGTTTTTGTCGATTTTGTTAGTGGTGCCTGATAACCCCGACTGTAGCGTCTTGAATTTGACTAGGTCTATGCTGAATGTGCTGCAGGGGTACAGTTGGGATAATACCGCCTCGTTGATTAGCATTTATTTGAGTGTTATTGACATGTTGAGCGTGATGGCGCAGGAATGGTACCCGTATCACATCGACAAAGGTAAAATTTGTGCTCAGTCTAGTTTTTGTACGTCTGTGGTTTGTGGTTTGCACTGATAGATTAATATAGATGCGACATACAGGCTGATTTTGAAAAACCACCCTTATTGACATTGGGGTCCTCAAGCGCCAAATTTAAATAGTCGATGCCAATAAAAAAACTTGTTTCACTACAACTGCTCGACTCTAAGCGTTCAGAAGCGATTTGGTTGATTTTGACTATAATATAGTTGTTTGGTCGGTTTTTATGACGACTAAGTGAATATTTTTGGTACATATTTAGATGATTTTACATATTTTGTTTAACTAAGAATTGATTCTTTATTTGTGTTTTATACTAGCAAAACGTCTTAAACTAAGAATATTGTTGAAATCGTAATAACCTAATGGATTTTTTTCGGGAAAATGTTTTGGAAACACTATGTTCTATTTTGTATGAATTTTTAAATGTTTTTAGTGACAATTTTTGTGGTTGTTTTCGATACACTGTATGATATTAACTGTGAGAAAAAAAATGAAAAATTAAAATAATCGAAAAATCGAAAAACCGAGAAATCGAAAAATCAAAAAATTAAGAAATCGTGGGGTGGAAAAGTCGAACAATTAAGAATCCGAAATACGTCAAAATCGAAATTTAAAAATCGAGCAATTTGTAAATTGAGAAATTGAGAGATTGAAAAATCGAAAAATAGAGAAATCGACAAACAAAAAGTTAAAAGTTGAAAAATTGGAAAAGCGGAAAAATCAAAAAACGAAAAAATGGAAAACTGGAAAAACTGAGAAACCGAAATGGCCCAAAATAAAAAATTGAAAAACTGATAAATCGAAAACCTAAACAATCAAGTCTCGATAAATCGGGAATGAAATTTAACACATCGAAAAATTGAAAAGCAGAACATCTAAAACCAGTAAGTCGAAAAATCAAAAGATTAAGAAATATTGAACAATTAAAATATCAAAAGATTGAAAAATCTAAAATTTAAAAATCCAAAAATTGAAAAATCGAAAAATCAAAAAGTGAAGTCGAAAAATAGAAACCTTAGAAAATCGAAAAATTGAAAAATCAAAAACCTGAAAAATCAAAAATTAAAGAACTGAAGAACAGGAAAATCGAAACATCGATTAATTGAAAAATCGAAAAATTGAGTTTATGAAAGTCAAATTTGAAAATTTAAAAATCGAAAATTTGACAAAATGACAATTGAAAAACAGAAAATCTAAAACCGGAAAGTCGAAAAATCAAAAGATTAAGAAATCGAAACATTTGAAAAATTCGAAAACTTGAAAAATTCAAACATCGAAGAATTGTTCATTTTTTGGTCGTCTTTTTTTCATTTTTTGCGTTTTTTGTACCCTCTTTTGTCGCTTGATTTCTCGTTTTTTTTTTGTCATTTTTCCCCCTATATTGCGTTTTTTGTCGTTTTTCTGTTGTTTTTTTGTTGCTCTGTGTTGGAGGTTTTTTTTTGTTGCATTTTTTTAGTTTGTTTTATTTTTCGTATTTGTATGTGCTTTTAATGTTTCCTTTTTTGTTATTGTTTATTTTATGTTCTTATTTTGCTTTTTTTGATATTTTTTTCACATTTTTGCGGTGTCTTTTTTTGTTGCTTTTTTTATCACGTTTTTTGTCGCATATTTTTTTTGTCAACTTTTTTTGTGTTTCTTGTTTCATTTTGTCGTTTTTTTAGTTCCCTTATTTTTCACTTTTTCTCATTTTTTTGTCATTATTTGTGCCTTTTATTCCTTTTTTTTTTGTTGTTTTTTGTATTTGTTTGTCACTTGATTGCATCCTTTCTTTGGTTTTGGTTTTTGACGTCTGTTCATTTTTTCTTTGGCTTTTTAGCCTCTTTTTATGGATGTTTATGTATTTTTTAGCTTTTTTTTTCAGTGTTCGTATTTTTTTGTCGCTTTCTTTATTGTTTTTTCTTTATTCAATTTTTTTTTGTAATTTTTTAGTCCCCTTATTTTCCGCGTTTTGTTGCTTTTTCGTCATTTGCTTCTTTTACTTTTTTGTTTTGGATATTTGTATGCCTTTTTAGTTGTCTTTTCTTGGTCACTTTTTTAATTTCTTTTTGTCGCTTCATTTCTTGCCTTTTTTGTCGAGGTTTTAACGTCTTTTTCGTTTTGTCTCTCCTTTTTGTCCTCTTCTTTTCTCATTTTCTGCCTTTTATGTCGTTTTTCCGTTGCTTTTTTGTAGTCCTTTTTGTCGCTTTATTTCTAGTATTTTTTTGTCGAATTTTTGACGTCTTTGAAAAATTCGAAAACATGAAAAATGGAAATATCGAAGAAAAAATGAAAAATCGCGAAATCGAAAAATCAAAAATTTTAAATATTGAAAAATTAAAATATCAAAAAACTGAAAAATCTATAATTTAAAAGTTGAAAAATTGAAAAAACGACAATTGAAAACAGAAAATCTAAAACCGGGAAGTCGAAAAATCGAAAGATTAAGGAATCGAAACATTTGAAAAATTAAAATATGGAAGAGCTGAAATGAAAAATCGAGAAATCGAAAAATCTAAAATTTTAAATATTGAAAAATTAAAATACCAAAAAATTGAGAAATCTAAAATTTAAAAATCGAAAAAGTAAAAAGTCGACACATCGAAAAATCCAGAAGTCAAAAATGGAAAAGTCGAAGAACAGAAATATTGAAAAATTCCAAAACTGAAATATGGAAAAACTGAAAAATGAAAGAAAAACTGACGAATCGAAAAACTGAAAAATCCCAAAACTGAGAACCTAAAGAATCCAAAAATTGAGAAATCGAAAAATCAAAAAAGTGAAGTCGAAATATCGAAACCTTGAAAAAATCGAAAAATTTAAAAATCAAAAACCTGCAAAATCGTAAGATCGAAAAATTTAATAATAAGTAAACTGAAAAATCCTAAAACTGAAATGTCCAAAAACTGAGAAATTAAAAAATTGAAAAAATGAGAAATCTAAAAATAAAAAAAGTGAAGTTCGAATCCTGAAAAAATTGAAAAACCAAAAAACCTGAAAAACCAATTAATAGAAAAATCGACAAATAAAGAGTTTATAAAAGTCAAAAATTGAAAAATCGAAAATTTGACAAAACCGGGAAGTCGAAAAATCAAAAGATTAAGAAATCGAAACATTTGAAAACTTGAAAAATTGAAATACTGAACTGAAAAATCGAGAATTCGAAAAATCTAAAATTTTAGAAATTAAAAAATCTAAAAATTGAAAAATCGAAAAAGTAAAATAATCGACACATCGAAAAATCCAGGAGTCAAAAATCGAAATATTGAAAAGTCCCAAAACTGAGATATCGAACAACTGAAAAATAAAAGAAAAACTGAGAACCTAAAAAGTCGAAAAATTCAGCAATCGAAAAATCCAAAAAGTGAAGTCGAAAAATCGAAACCTTAAAAAACCTAAAAAATGAAAAATCGAAAAATTAAAGAATTGAACAGCAATATCGAAACCTTCGAAAGTCAAGAAATGGGAAAATAAAAACATCGATTAATTGTAAAATCGAAAAGTTGAAAGTTTATGAAAGTCAAATTTGAAAAATTGAAAAATCGAGAAGCTGGAAAAACGACAATTGAAAAACAGAAAATCTAAAACCGGGAAGTCGAAAAATCGAAAGATTAAGAAATCGAAACATTTGAAAAATTCGAAAACATGAAAAACGGAAATATCAAAGAAGAAATGAAAAATCGCGAAATCGAAAAATCTAAAATTTTAAATATTGAAAAATTAAAATATCAAAAAACTGAAAAATCTAAAATTTAAAAATCTAAAATTTAAAAATCGAAAAATTGAAAAAACGACAATTGAAAAACAGAAAATCTAAAATCGGGAAGTCGAAAAATGGAAAGATTAAGAAATCGAAACATTTGAAAAATTGAAATATGGATTTGCTGAAATGAAAAATCGAGAAATCGAAAAATCTAAAATTTTAAATATTGAAAAATTAAAATACCAAAAAATTGAGAAATCTAAAATTTAAAAATCGAGAATGTAAAAAGTCGACAAATCGAAAACTCCAGAAGTCAAAAATGGAAAAGTAGAAGAACAGAAATATTGAAAAATCCCTAAACTGAAATATCCAAAAACTGAGAACCTAAAGAATCGAAAAACTGAGACATCGAAAAATCAAAAAAGTGAAGTCGAAATATCGAAACTTCAAAAAAATCGAAAAATTGAAAAATCAAAAACCTGCAAAATCGTAAGATCGAAAAATTGAATAATAAGTAAACCGAAAAATCCCAAAACTGAAATGTCCAAAAACTGAGAAACTAAAAAATTGAAAAATTCAGAAATCGAAAAATCAAAAAAGTGAAGTTGAAAAATCGAAACCTGAAAAAATAGAAAGATTGAAAAACCAAAAGACCTGAAAAATCAATCAATTGAAAAATCGACAAATAAAGGGTTTATAAAAGTCAAAAATTGAAAAATCGAAATATTTAAAAATTGTAAAATCCAAAATAAGACTCATTTTGACAACTGACCTACTCTTCTAACCAGAAGTACTAGCCCCGTCCACCCACCCTTATTTTCTTGAAAGAGTAGGTCATCTGCCAAAATCAGTCTTTTATCTTGGCAAGTATGAGACTGATTTTTGCAAATGACATATCCTCTAAGAAAATAAGGGTGGGTGGGTGGGGCTAGTACTTGGAAAGATAAGACTGATTTTGGCAGATGACCCGCTCTTCTAAGAAAATAAAGGGTGGGTGGGGGGGGGGCTACTACTTGTCAAGATAAGACTGATTTTGGCAGATGATCTTCTCTTCTAAGAAAATAAAGGATGGGTGGGTGAGGCTAGTACTCGCTAAAAATAAAAAATTAAAATTAAAAAATGACAAATTGAAAAATCGAATAAATGAGAAATTGGAAAATTGTAAAGCTGTATAATCCGAAAATCAAATTTTAACTTGGGGACTTGAAAAATTAAAAGATTGGAAATAAAAACTCCAAAATTATCAAATTAAATATTCAAAAGTTGAAAAATCTAAAAACTAAAAAAATGAAAACTGGAATTCCGAATTCGATGTTATAAGATTTGTTTTTTTATTTTTTGTTTCAATTTTTCGATATTTCAGTTTTTGATTTTCCCATTATACAGTTGTACAATTTTCTGATTTCTCATTTATCCGATTTTTCAATTTGTCATTTTTAATTTTTTAATTTTAGTAAATAGTAGCCCCACCCAGCCACCCTTTATTTTCTTAGAAGAGTAGATCATCTGCCAAAATCAGTCTTATCTTGGCAGGTACTAACACCCGCCCCCCGCCCACCCTCCCTTATTTTCTTAGAGGATATATCATTTGCAAAATCAGTCTCTTCTTGACAAGTACTAGCCCCCCGCCCACCCACCCTTTATTTTCTTAGAACAATGGGTCATCTGCTAAAATCAGTCTTATTTTTGCAGGTACTAAATTTAATTTAAACTCTGTGATTTACTATGACGCTTCTCTATGTTCTCTGACTGAAATGTCAAAATCAGAGCCTGCTTTTGTAATTGTGGTGGTTCTTTTTAGTGGAATCGAACGACTCTCTGTACGGCTCGGATAAGAAATTTATAGCCGAAATTAACAAAATTTGCTCTGTGGTGATCTCGGAATTGATGAGCAAGTTGCAGGCGCTGGGGCCCTGCACTAAACAGTCTTCTTTCGCCGTCGAACTATTCGTCAAGGTGGCCGTGAGAAACGAACTGACCAATCAGCTTCTAGTTCTAGCCCTCAATTTGTGGAACTTAGCTGTCAAAGATGGTTCCTTAGACAAGCGATATCTGGTATGTTTTATTACAAATTAATATTAATACATCAGAAAAAATAAAAACTACAAATATTCGTGTTTCAGATCAGGACCAAAGACTACTTAAAACATAAAAGTTCGAGTAATAACACCCGCCTACAAGAAATAGTGGAAAAAATGGAGTAGTGTAAATGCAAACGTAAAAAATAAAATATTTTCGAGTTTATTTCGGTCTACCGCGACCTCTGCCCCCGCCCCCGCTCCCTTTCTTTTTCTTATTGGTGGTCTGCTTCTTGTCATCAGCTTTACGTTTAGCAGGAGTCGTAGACAACACGGTAAAAAATCCATCCAATCTCCCCTGAACGCTAGAACCACGTGACTTTAATAACTTTTTAACGCCGTTTCTGACACGCTCTTCATTAAATTGTTTATCCCCACAGAGAAACTTCACCATTCCTTCCTCATCAGGGTCATTCCATTTCAACTAGAAAAAAATCACCCTTATTCACTCTTGTCATTAAAAGCAAATTTAGTACCTCAATATTCGTGGCTTCCATCACCTCTGGGTCATAAAACAGCCGCCGCGCCCCCTCGTAATTCCACTCCTGCGGCGCCGGATACTTATTAGCATCAATGTTCTTGAGCACTTCATCAATACTTTTATGCTTTTTAATCAACTCGATTGCTCTCTTTGGCCCAATCCCTCTGATGCTTTCAGTGTAGTCACACCCCAGTAAAATACACAAATCGACGAAAGCCCCCTGATCCAACTCCAACCCTTGTAGAACTTTATCGAGATGAATCTCCTGCACTGGCATTTTTCTGGCTTCACTGAACGTCAAGTGTCTCAGCAAAATGTTGGAACCGAAAGTCAAAGCGTCCATGTCTTCGGTGGCCGTGGCGTACACAAGTCCCGCTTTCACCATAGCGGCGCACTGAGCCTCCGCTTCACACGGGGCTTCCACATACGGCACCCCCATTAAAGTGAGCAGCTGCTTGGCTTCGTCGGCGTGGTTGCGCGTGACTTTGACCAGGCGCCGGTTGAACCTGTCTATTTCTGTGACGTCTCCTAGTTCAGTGGCTTTGTCGAGGGCTTTCTGGGCCTCCTCGCGCCGTTCTTGACGTTTGTTCAACTCGGCGGATTTCAAATCTGGGGGCTTGCCGTCGAAAACGTAGACCGGTTTAATCCCGTTTTCGATGAGGCGGATTGTGCGGTAGAAGGTTCCAAGGAGGTGAGAGGTGGTTTCGCCGTCGACTGAGGTGAGTTGGCCGGTTTCGTTTCGAACGGCTATGAGGAACTGGTATAAGCACATGGAGGCGTCGATTGCGACTTTGCGGCCTGAAAGGTTAAATGAGATAAGGGGGTTGTTGGATTGGGGGCTTACCGAAGTAGTGCTTGATTTCGCCTTCTTTGATGGCTTGGGGGGCGAGGTCCGCCAGAAGTTTAGATAAACCGAGAATACCCATGGTGGTGGTCGCTAAGTCGCGGCGACGTTGTGTGGTTGTTGGTGGTTGCTTCCCGCGCAAAAATTAACCTCACTTTTGAAAATCGTGTTTGCGGTAATTGTGCATGGGGTGAGTTGTTACGTGTACTAGGGGGTGTGATTGGGGGTCGCTTACGCGTCGGGACGCAGTGACAACTTTTCTAAACCACGAAAAACGCAAATTAATTTTTTTCCAGTCGCGCGAAGCTAGCAACAGTTCCATCCCAACTTTCACCGTAGTTGGCACTCCTGCCCGTCGAGAGCAGCGAACTTCGTGGGGTTTTAGATTTGTCAATTTTTGTATCTCAAAATAGGCAACAATAAATTTCTTTTTATTTTCGCTACCTAAAGTAAATTTAAAGTTTACCGTTGTTGTTAATAATTGTAAATATTGTGTAAATTTTTGTTATGTTATAGAAATACTAGGTGAGTCGAAACCAGTTCATAAATAAAACATCACTAATTATGGTGCTGCTTTACAAACAAAAGGTGAAAGACAAATTCGAAAAATCCCGATCGCGACTTTCTAACTCGCACAAACCGTCCCCGCCCCCCGGAAAAGCCCCAACTAAGCCCCTTTTTGTGTTTTCCAGCGCGAGTACGATTTTCTTGTGGACTGGTCAGGAGATGTCGAATAAAAGTTCCGTCAATAACACAGCAGGCCTCAAACAAATCGACTTGGATCAGATTTGGGGCGACTTGAACGCGGGGATCGAGCATGCATACAGCCAGCAGCACATGCCGAAGTATCTTTACATACAGCTGTATACACATGTGTACGACTACTGCACGTCGGTGCATCAGCAGGCCAATGGCCGGGGCTCCTCGAGTATCTCCACGAAGAACAAGAAGAGCCAGGTCGGGGGCGGCGCGCAGCTCGTGGGGCTGGAGCTGTACAAACGGATTAGGGAGTTCCTCAAGAATTATCTGGTGACCTTGTTGAGTGTAAGCATTTTTTCGGTTTTTAAAGTTGGGGGTGGCGGGTCAAAAGTCGGGTAATTAGATTAGCGAGTGTTGTGGATTGGGCAATGATTTGCAGAATTAGTGCAGCGGCTAATAACCCGAAATAATGAATGTAGAAAAATTTTAAACTTAGTCGAGTCAAGTGGCCATAATTTAGGTTACAACTGGCAGTTGACTAAGTTATAAGAGTTAGTGGTGGTTTTGCGGTTTTTTTTGTGTGATTTTTTTGAAAATTGTAGCATCACTATTATCCAGACATAACCTAAATAATAGGAATTAAAGTTTGACATTTTTTGGCGAAAGATAGCGCTGTTGTACTTAACCCAATATGAGGGAGACTTGTGCCAGCTGTTTTGCCAAGAATTAGAGTCTGCATGACTCAGAAATAAGTATAAAAATTGCATAAATTCAGCGATAAAATAAATAAGAAATTATCTGTTTTTGTAATTTTAAGATAACCTTTTTGTACAACTTTTTAGTTTTAATTAGATCTACAAATTTATATTGTGCTTGCCACACTGGACACTGAAATAACGTAATTCAGTTAAATTCTACTTTGGATTTAACGATTTTTCAAATTTAAGCCTCCCACAATTTTCTAAATAATGCATTAATTTTTTTTTAAGAATTTGTGTTTTTCGGACCACTTAATTTAATTGACTGAAATTCTTTTGTTATTTTGGGACTCTAACCTGTTTGTTTTGAATCAATTGAATTGTTTATAATTTATTTGTAAAATTTATGGTCTGATTATTTAAAAATGTCGGGTTCAAGGTTTCTAGAAATATTTTGGTTTGTGGATTTAAAAAATACCATATCGAAAAACTGTCTAGTAGGCCATGCAATTTATTTGTAAAATAGTTATGTTGGCAGTTGCTGTCAAATAACTGTCATTATTTTAAAAATAAATTGCACGGCCTACTATGGGACTTTTTATGGTCATATTGTTTTTCGCTAAATATTAAACGAGGTATAAAAAATAAAAACTGTTTATTACTTGATTTTTTATCATTTCGAACCACTCACGTACTTCTTGGTGGAGCGGAAAATTTAACACGGTTGATAATAAATGTCACAAATAGAGTCTCTTTGACTTAACATCAATAAAACTGGATGAAGGTCGCATTTTTCGCTAAGAATTCAGTATCATTTTATTTATAGTTTTTCAGCGGAAGACTTAATTGAATTCCGCTGGAGGCAACTTCAAGTCTTAATAAATCTTGACATTTTGGGTCCCCACATTGCTTACGTCCGCCTATTTTTTCATAAAATGAAAACAATAGAGCGCAGTTATTCAAATCACGAAAACAAGTCGTCTTAAGTGCGTAATTCGTGAATCGCTCGCATAAAGTTCTGCGTTTTTCACCTGTTCGGCGTCATTGTAAGCAAATAATTAGCTTCCGACACAGAAAAAAAAGTAAGACGCGTGTTTTCGTTCAAGGTGAAGTGGTGAAAACAAGCTTTTCGCAACCTTTTCACACAAAAGGTGCAATTTTTACTTCCCGAGCGTAAGCAAAGGAAGTATTGTAATCGAGTCCGGCGGCCGACTCTCTACTTTTACGTTTTCTCGATCTTTCATGACCCCTAGAAGACGAAGAAATAGGTCTCCCATTTCCGTCTGTCTGTCCGTCTGTCCGTCCGTCTGTCTGTCCGTCTGCCGTCCCGGATTTTTATTAGACAGATAATCTCCGAAAGTACTCGACCGATTGTTGTGAAATTTTGTACTTATATTAAGAATATCATGTAGATGGTAAAACGCTAACCAAAATTTGTCTAATCATCCCCACCACTAATGCGATGACGTCACTTCAAAATTGTACATAGCAAATGGGTTTTTAATTGTATAAAATAACATAGTCCTACACATGTAGTTTACAACTCTGAATCGACTTTTCACCCGAAACGTCCAGATTTTTGGAAAAAAAATCAAAATTATATAACAACATTTTGGAATTTAATTTTTAATCTGCTAACCAGAATGCTTTGAAATATTGCAGATGTTTTAAGGCTATAAAGAGCATCATAAATCTTTAGTCAAAAAATATTTGCTTATCCCCTCCAAAAACTTGATGACGTCAGCTCAAAAGTTTGTGGAATAAATCATATCTAAAATGTACAAAATATGATGAGTCTGTACTTGTGATCGATCACTCCATTCATATTTTTTGGATTTGCATATACAGGGTGACTCAAAAAAATTAATGAATGCGTAAATATATTTTATTGATTTACTCAGGAACTACAAAACCGAATGCTCTGAAATCTTGCAGATGTTTTAAGGTCAGAAAGAGCATAATAAATGTTTAGTCAAAATATATTTGCGTATCCCCTCCAAAAACTTGATGACGTCAGCTCGAAAGTTTGCCGAATAAATCATATCTAAAATGTACAAAATATGATGAACCTGTACTTGTCATTTATCACTCCATTCATATTTTTGGATTTGCATATACAGAGTGACTCAAAAAAATTAATGAATGCGTAAATATATTTTATTGATTTAATCAGGAACTACAAAACGGAATGCTCTGACATCTTGCACATGTTTTAAGGTTATAAAGAGCATAATAAATGTTTAGTCAAAATATATTTGCTTATCCCCTCCAAAAACTTGATGACGTCAGCTCGAAAATTTGCCGAATAAATCATATCTAAAATGTACAAAATATGATCAGTCTATACTTGTGATCTATCACTCCATTCATATTTTTTGGATTTGCATATACAGGGTGATTCAAGAAAATAAATGAAAGCGTAAATTTATTTTACTGATTTACTCAGGAACTACAAAACCGAATGCTTCGAAATCTTGAAGATATTTTAAAATTATCATAAGCATCGTAAATTTTTGATCAAAACGTATTTGGTCGTCCCCCCTAAAAAATTTATGACGTCACCACAAAATTTTGCTGAATAAATCCTATCTAAAATGTAAAAAATATGGTGAGTCTCTTCTTGTGATTTATCATTCCATTCAAATTTTTTCGATTTGCATATACAGGGTGACTCAAAAAAATTAATGAATGCGTAAATTTATTTTATTGATTTAATCAGGAACTATAAAACCGAATGCTTTGAAATCTTGCAGATGTTTTAAGGTTATAAAGAGCATAATAAATTTTTAGTAAAAATATATTTGGTTATCTTCTACAAAAAACTGATGACGTCAGCTCAAAAGTTTGCCGAATAAATCGTATCTAAAATGTACAAAATATGATGAGTCTGTACTTGTGATTTATCATTCCATTCATATTTTTGGATTTGCATATGCAGGGTGACTCAAAAAAATTAATGAAGGCGTGAATTTATTTTATCGATTTAATCAGGAATTACAAAACCGAATGCTTTGAAATCTTGGGAATATTTTAAAGTTATTATAAGCATGGTAAACTTTTGTTCAAAATGTATTTGTTCATCCCTCCTAAAAAAATTGATGACGTCACCCTTAAATTTTGCTGAATAAATCCTATCTAAAATGCAAAAAATATGATGAGTTTGTACTTGTGATTTATCATTCCATTCATATTTTTTAGATTTTCTTAAGAGGTGGTTCAAAAGAATTAATGAAGTCAATTTATTTTATTGATTAAATTAAAGGCAACACTTATTATTAGTATTACACCCCAACCAACCCAATTTGGTAGACACAAAATTTGTTAAAGGAAAAACTCGGTTGAAACATAAGGGTAGCACGCTTATTTACATCGACTTTAACATTACAGACCTGCATTTGTTTTATGCTCTCACTTGGTTCCGCGAATGTGAAATGGACATGTTTATAATCAACCAATTGTGAATTTCACCGTCAAGAATTAAAATAAAACCCAATGTTTTATATAATAAGCGGAAGTCGAAGCAATAAAACCGATGGTCGTTTTGTTTACAGTTTCTCTGTTTGACTCTCACGTATGCTGTTACGCCTGTCATCTTAAATTAAGAATGTTTATACATACACGATTTTCAGTTGCCTCTGATACGTATACGTGAGTAAATTGTTTCGTTATTTTATTGATTATTACAAATCAATATTCAAAACGACCCAATTCATTTTCCCGAAAATTTGAGAATATAATAATTTTATTCTTAGTATTACACTACATCTATCCCAACTGATATACGTGTCCTTGCAAAAATGTTGATGACGTCATCGCAATTTTTTTTTAAATTCCCACTACAAAAATGTAATGAGAAAAAAAACACAATAGGCATGCAGTCGTCAAGTTTCCGACAGCGAGGGAAGTACTGTCTAAACTCTTTAGACCAATTTTTTTAATGACTGGGCGCCGCTTCGGCGGAAATGGTTGCCACAGTGCTATGAATGAAAAAAAAAGTCTAGATAAAACACAAAATTTTTTACAGTCAGCGCAAGATTTGGAAAGGTTTCAATGGAACGAACGACCTGCAATAAATTAGAGAAAATCTAGTAAAATAAATGCCAAGAATTTTAACGTCGGTGTAACGATCCAGAAATAATGAGGAAAAAGCGCGGAAAATAATCGGTGACAGGTGACGAAACGATTTTATCGTCGTTGTCACGTTTCGCGGAATAACAATGGTTTTATTGAGAATCGACCCTTATCTCTGATAACGATATTTCCACGTTGCAAAATCCAAATAAAGACAATGGTTTTTGAGCAACCACGCCGAGGTCGGAGGTCGCCGGACAAATGGCCCCATTTTTCGCATAAATCCGCGATAACGAGTGGATGTTGTGCCCGGTTTTGAATGTGCCGACCTTTGGCATTTGTGCGAAATGCGACAAAAGATAAATAAAGGCAAACGAGATAGATTGAAACGTCGGGAAATGGAATTTTCGCGCGATTTCGCGTAATGAGGGTCGTTTGTTCGCTTAGTTTTCGAATAATGGAGATCATATTTCGCGCGAGATTGGAAATGAAGCGGTAAACTAATAGAGGGAACGGACGCTCGCATACGAATAGGTGGTTTATTGTGGGAGCGCGGTATAAAAGTAACGGGTTTTCGAATAAAAACTCCCTCGCAGATCGCCGTTTATATCATTTAGGAAACATAAATTAGCACAAGTGGATCGATACGAGCGGTTTTTGAGTTGGATTTGTGGGAGTGGTAATTATATACTTCGTGAGACGTTAATGTCGTACTAACAAGCTCCAGCTACGAATTTGACGTTTTTAGGCGGTTTTTAGATGGTGGTTTTCACCTACAGCGTTTGTACTAACGAATTCGCTATATTTTTCTATTATTAAAATGAAAGGTTGGTCAGGCTTAAATTAAAACGCTAAATTTTGGGTAGTCAAGATAATGAACGTTTTCAATTTATTAATAGGAATTTAAAAGTTTAATTGGTGGAGAGTCTGTAATATATGAGGTTTTTCCGACAGGCGGGGGAGCTCGCTTTTGGAGTAAGCGGCACCGGTCTAAATGATGGCTTTAATTCTGTAAGTTTTTGGAGTTTTTTTTTTATTCTGATAATTATTACGGTGAGGTATACTATGTCCAGCGAAAGATCGGACTACGTTTCGGGTAGTACAGTTTCTTCATCAGTTTAATTCAAATTCAAAATTGTCCCATCTGTTACTGGATGCAATATGCTGCAAGTTTTTTTGTGCGCGTTTTTCAAAAAATTGGGGAAAACAGTAAAAAATCTATAGCCTAGAGGTGATCGCAAACTAAAATTTGTCTTTTCATGCCGTCAAAAAAATCGATGACGTCATCTTAAAATTTCTAACATGCTTAATAATATACTTTCAATTTTATACTTTATTAAACACGTTAAATTTAGGACATATTTCAAAATTAAAAATTATTTTTTTTATATGTTTTGCAACGAAATTAATATGTTGATTATCCCCACCGAAAAATTTGATGACGTCAGTTCAAGATAGAATTTCGGCAATTTTTCGATTTTCAACTTGAATTTTTAAAATTTTGATTTTTCGATTTTCCAATTTTTGATTTTTCAGTTTTTCAATTTTGCAATGTTTGGATTTTTCAATTTTTCAATTTTTAATTGTTCGATTTTCCATTTAGCTTTTTTAATGTTTCAATTTTTAATTTGAAATTTTTCTAATTTATAGTTTTTCGATTTGCACTTATTACAATTTTCGATTTTCCGTTTTTCGATTTTTTAACTTGAATTTTTCAATTTTTAGATTTAATTTTTCGATGTTTCAGTGCTACAATTTTTCGATTTCCCAGTGTTTAGATTTTTCAATATTTTAATTGTAGTTTTCCGAATGTTTCGGTTTTCCAATTTTTAACTTTCGAATTTTTCAATTTTTCGATTTTCTATTTCGATTTTTTTAATGTTTCAATCTTTAATTTGAAATTTTTCGAATTTATGGTTTTTTGATTTGCTCTTTTTAGAATTTTAGATTTTCAGTTTTTCGATTTTTCAACTTGAATTTTTCAACTTTTAGATTTTTTTTCGTTTCTTTAGTTTGTCGATTAGCAATTTTTCGATTATTATTTTTTCGATTTCTCGAAATTTCAGTGTTAACAATTTTTGGATTTCCCAATGTTTAGATTTTTCATTATCGCGATTTTTAACTTCTGAATTTTTAAGCTTTTCGATTTTCCATGTCGTCTTTTTGACAGTCTTTTAGTTTTTATTTTGAAGTTTTTTGATTTGCACCTTTCTGAATTTCTCAAATTTTAGATTTTTCCTTTCCTTTTGCAATTTGCAGATTTTAGATTATTAATTTTTCGACTTTCCACTTGAATTTTCGGATTTTTCAATTTTTCGGTTCTTCAGCGTTTCCCAATGTTTAGATTGTTCACTAATTCGATTGTAGTTTTTCGATTTTCCAATTTTTGATTTTTCAGTCTCCCAATTTTTCAGTTTTTCAATTTTGCAATGTTTCCATTTTTATTTGTTCGATTTTTCAACTTTTGAATTTTTCAAATTTTTTATTTTTCTTTTCGTTTTGCGATGTGCAGTTTTCCGATTATTAATTTTTCAATTTTCATTTGGAAATTTTTCAAGGTTACGGTTTTTCGGTTTGCCATTTTTCGATTTTCCACTTGAATTTTTGGATTTTTCAATTTTTCAAGTCTTCAGTTTTTCAATTTTTTGATTTTTCACTGCTCCGATTTTTCAGTTTTTCCTTTTTGTAATGTTTTGCTTTTTCAACTTTTGAATTTTTTAATTTTTCGATTTTCCATTTCGTTTTTTTTTGAAATTGAAATTTTTCGAATTTTAGAATTTTTGATTTTCAGTTTTTCGGTTTTTCGACTTGAATTCTTAATTTTCACAATTTTTTTTCATTTCTTTGGTTTGTCGATTTGCAATTTTTCGATTATGAATCTTTCAATTTGTCGATATTTCAGTATTACAATTTTTCAATTTCCCAATGTTTAGATTTTTCAATATTTCGATTGTAGTTCTTCGACTTTTAAATTTTCCGAATTTTTCAGTTTTTTGGTTTGCAATTTTTTTATTTTCTACTTCAATAAAATGATTTTTCAATTTTTCGATTCTTCAGCTTTTGAATTGTTCGATTTTCAACATTGAAAATTTTTATTTTTTCTCTTTTCCATTTCGTTTTTTTAATGTTTCGATTTTTAATTTGAAAGTTTTCGATTTGCACTTTGTAGAATTTTCGAGTTTTCAACTTGAATTTTTCAATTTTTACATTTTTTTTTTCGTTTCTTCGGTTTGTCGATTTGTGATTTTTGGATTATTAATTTTTCAATTTTTCGATGTTTCAGTATTACAATTTTTCAATTTCCTAACATGTATTTAGATTTTTCAATATTTCGATTGTAATTCTTCGTTTTTATTTTGAAATTCTTCAAATTTACAGTTTTTTTGGCTTGCAATTTTTCGATTTTCCAATTGAATTTTTGGATTTTTCAATTTTTCGATTTTCCAGTTTTTCAATTTTTCGATGTTTCAGTGTTACAATTTTTTGATTTCCCAATGTCTAGGTTTTTCAATTTTGAATTGCCCGATTTTCCAACTTTTGAATTTTTTAATTTTTCGATTTTCCAATTGTTTTTTTTTATGTTTCAATTTTTCGATTTTTTTTCGTTTCTTTAGTTTGTCGATTTGTAACTTTTCGATTATTGATTTTTAAATATTTCCATTGTAGTTTTTCGACTTTTCAATTTTTGATTTTTCAATTTTCCGATTTCTAACTTTTGAATTTTTTATTTTGAAGTTTTTCGATTTGCACCTTTCCGAATTTTTCAATTTTCAGTTTTCCGATTTTTCGACTTGAATTTTTCACATTTTAGATTTTTCTCTTAGTTTTGCGATTTGCAGTTTTTCGATTATTAATTTTTCAATTTTTTATTTTAAATTTTTCTAAGTTTACGGTTTTTCGGTTTGCAATTTTCCAATTCTCGACTTGAATTTTTGGATTTTTCAATTTTTGGGTTCTTCAGCTTTTCAATTGTTCGATTTTTCAACTTTGAATTTTTAATTGTTCGATTTTCGATTTCGTTTTTTTTTATGATTCGATTTTTAATTTGAAAGTTTTCGAATTTTCAACTTGAATTTTTCAATTTTTACATTTTTTTTTTCGTATCTTCGGTTTGTTTAGATTTTTCAATATTTTGTTTGTAGTTTTTCGATTATTAATTTTTTAATTTTTATTTCGAAATTTTTCAAATTTACAGTTTTTTGGTTTGCAATTTTTCGATTTTCTACTTGAATTTTTGGGTTTTTCAATTATTCGATTTTCCAGTTTTTCAATTTTTCGATGTTTCAGTATTACAATTTTTCAATTTCCTAATATGTATTTAGATTTTTCAATATTTCGCTTGTAGTTTTTCGACTTTTCAATTTTCCGATTTTTAACTTTTGAATTTTTCAGTTTTTCGATTATAGATTTTTTTTTTATTTTGAAATTTATCAAATTTACAGTTTTTTGGTTTGCAATTTTTAGATTTTCCACTTGAATTTTTGGATTTTTCAAATTTTCGATTTCCCAATGTTTAGATTTTTCAATATTTCGATTGTTGTTTTTCGGTTTTCCAATTTCTGATTTTTCAATTATTCGATTTTTCAACTTTAGAATTGTTTAATTGTTCGATTTTCTTATTCGTTTTTTTAATGTTTCAATTTTTTTTGCATTTTCAATTTTTCAATTCAATTTCGATTTTCAATTTTTAATTTTTCAGTTTTCCGACTTCTAATTTTTGAATTTTTCAGTTTCTAGATTTTCTATGTCGTCTTTTTAATAGTCTCAATCAAGATTTTTCAAAATTTCGATTGTAGTTTTTCGATTTTTCAATTTTCCGATTTTCAACTTTTGAATTTTTCAGTTTTTCGATTATTAATTTTTTAATTTTTATTTTGAAATTTTTCAAATTTACAGTTTTTTGGTTTGCAATTTTTCAATTTTCCACTTGAACTTTTGGATTTTTAAATTTTTTGATTTTCCAGTTTTTCAATTTTTCAATGTTTCAGTGTTACAATTTTTCGATTTCCTAATGTTTAGATTTTTCAATTTTGAATTGTTCGATTTTCCAACTTTTGAATTTTTTATTTTTTCGATTTTCCAATTATTTTTTTTATGTTTCAATTTTTAGATTTTTTTTCGTTTCTTTAGTTTGGCGATTTGTAACTTTTCGATTATTAATTTTTCAATTTTTCGATATTTCAGTGTTACAATTTTTCGATTTTCAATTTTTGATTTTTCAATTTTCCGATTTCTAACTTTTGTATTTTTTATTTTGAAGTTTTTCGATTTGCACCTTTCCGAATTTTTCAATATTCAGTTTTCCGATTTTTCGATTTGAATTTTTCAAATTTTAGATTTTTCTTTTAGTTTTACGATTTGCAGTTTTTCGATTATTAATTTTTCAATTTTTATTTTAAAATTTTTTAAGTTTACGGTTTTTCGGTTTGCAATTTTCCAATTTTCGACTTGAATTTTTGGATTGTTCAATTTTTGGATTCTTCAGCTTTTCAATTGTTCGATTTTTCAACTTTGAAATTTTTTAATTGTTCGATTTTCCATTTCGTTTTTTTTATGTTTCGATTTTAAATTTGAAAGTTTTCGATTTGCATTTTTTAGAATTTTCGATTTTTCAACTCGAATTTTTAATTTTTTACATTTGTTTTTTCGTTTCTTTTGTTTGTCGATTTGTAATTTTTAGATTATTAATTTTTCAATTCTTCGATGATTTTTCGATTTCCCAATGTTTAGATTTTTCAATATTTCGATTGTAGTTTTTCGATTTTTCAATTTTCCGATTTTTAAGTTTTGAATTTTTCAGTTTTTCGATTATTAATTTTTTAATTTTTATTTTGAAGTTTTTCAAATTTACAGTTTTTTGGTTTGCAATTTTTCGATTTTCCACTTGAATTTTTGGGTTTTTCAATTTTTCGATTTTCCATTTCGTTTTTTTTTTGTTTCAATTTTTAATTTGAAAGTTAAAGTTTTCGAATTTATAGTTTTTCGATTTGCACTTTTAGAGTTTTCGATTT